CGTGGGCCTCCCAGGACAAGGGGAAAGTGAGTGTGCCCTTTTCTTGCCTCCTGCCAGGTGTCTGCAGCCTGGTACAACTTTGTCCAGGTCTCCAAGCCAAGGACCTGGAGATGTTCTTTTCCAATTTCTGGATTGGTAGCTTGAGGCAAATTCTGGGCACTAGAGTCAGAACTAAGAAGAGACTGAATCAGGGGAATCTGGGGTCCTGAGAGGCAGAGACCTGAAACCGTCTAGAGCTGTGTGGGGAGTTGGGTGCGTGTTCAGTCCAGTTGCTTCTCTCTGTGCCTCAGTGTTCCAGGTACCCTTAGAGGGGCTGAGATCCTAGGGATTCCTGGAGCCTGGCTGCATGGCCTGGCCGCATGGCCTGGCCACCCTGATGCCCTTGTGTTCTCCACGATAGGGCAGCAAAGCCAAGGAGAATGGCTCCGACAGCTTCATGCACTCCATGGACTCACAGCTAGAGTGGCAAATGGAAACCACCCAGAACCTGCAGGACTCCTACATGGCCATTGTCAACACCACCATGTGGGGACCTCAAGGTTGGTGTCACGCCCAAGACCATCATGCACGTCATGATCAACAACATGCATGCACCGCCTCATGGGGGCAGGAGGCTCCTGTGGCACTGGGGATGGAGATAGCCATGTTGGCCTGGGGGAGATGCTGACCAGCCCTATGGGACCAGGTCCAGGGTGGCAGGCACGGTCCAGACCAGAGCTCTCTCATGGAAATGTAACATGGGACTGAGGACGGTGACCCATGCCTGTAATCCCAGCACTTTGGGCGGCCAAGGTGGGAGGATGCTTGAGCCCAGGATTTCAAGACCAGCCTGGGCAACATAGTGAGACCTGGTCTCTACACAAAAATTTTAAAAATAGCTGGGCTTGGTGGTGGCACGTGCCTATAGTCCTAGCTACTCAACAGGCTGACATTGGAGGATCACTTTGAGCCCAAGAGGCTGAGGCTGCAGTGAGCGGTGATCTCGCCCACTGTACTCCAGCCTTGTGACCAAGTGAGATCCTATCTCCAAAAAAAATTTCTTTAAAAAACTGAGTAGACAGGTGTGCTGGTGGCATGATAGGTCCTGGGTCCCCTCCCAGACCTGTGACCTTGGACAGGTGACTTTTCCTCTGGACCTCAGTGTCCCTATCTGAGTGAGAAAAGGGCGGTAGGGAGGCAGATCTTTGAGTGTAAGCGGTGTAGAAGCTGTGTCTGAAACACCATACTCAGGGCTCCAAGTCCAGCACACAGTCCCAGCAGGGCCCGGCAGGAGGCCAGGGCAGCGCAGGCATCAGGTCCCAACCTCCTTCCCTCTTTGCCCACTCTCAGACCAAGGAGTTCATCTTCTCAGAGCTGCTGTCCACCCTGGCGCCCTGAAATTGAACCTGCAGGACAACCAGGAGTCCTGTCCCTGTACTCCTGTGGGGACCAGAACATGCTGATGGAGGAGTCAGCAGAGCAGGCGCAGCAGTGCGCCGAGATGCTGTGCATGCACCACGTGCTGAAGGAGGCGCTCAGCGTCATCGGCGACATCAACACGGGCACCATCAGCACACCCACGTGGTCTGTGGACAACTCCTGGCTGCAGGTGCCGAGAGTCCTTGCCGGACGCAGGTACCAGGGCTGGCCCCAAAGGCCCCAAAGTCCCCCAGCCCGCATGGCTGAGCCTGGGGCTCTTGGAACAGGCTCTGTGCCCAAGCTGACAGACGTGGGTGCTCTCTGGAACCATCAGAGAGCTCATGGTTTATGGTGTAAGGGCTTAGAGCTTGGAGGGGGTTGTGTGTGGGGCTGCACTCTGAGGCGGCCAGAGGCCTAGGAATGTCACCCTGGGTACGCTGTACCTGTTGTGCAGTCCGAGTCATGCTGCCAGGGCAGAGTATCCAGCTCCCAGCCTGGGAGTGCTGAGAGCCAAATCCACTGCAGAGGAGGGGTGAGAGTCAGGGTCCCACCTCCTCTATCTGTCGGCAATCCAGTGGTGATCTAGGATAAAACCTCGAGAGTCCCATACACACGGTCAACCCACAACACACCTCACAGGCCAGGTAGGGACACACAGCCCCCTTCTCTCCCTCCCAGGTCTCATCATAGCTGCCAGCGTGTGACGGAAGGCAGGGTCCCTGGCCCCCGCTGAAGCACTACCGCCAGTCAGCAGGCTCATGCACCTTGGCCTGTTGCTCCTAGAGGTTGCCTCCGCTATTCAACCAAGGGGACCACAGTGCCTGGTTGAGCTGCTATTCAACCAAGGGGACTCCCAGCTGAGCTCTGCCCGGCAAGCCCACCCACCTCCCCTGCCATGGACTCTCCCTCTTCTGCTTTTCCCAACAGGAAGGGCCCAGCCTCACTTACGCGACCTGCAACCCCCAACAAGCTGAGGCTCCCCTCTTAGACTTATAAGTCTATAGCCAGTGGAATCCGGCTGCCTGCCCTCCCTGCCTCCCTCAGGGTCCCTTCAGAGGATCCTGGACGTTCTGACCACCCAGAGGGTTCTCCGGCGATCACTCCAGCCATCCATCCCTTTTAGCTTCATCATCCTGGTTCAAGCAGTGTTCCTTCTCTATCAAGCCTGGTGGCTGTTGCGTTGGGCTCCCTGAGGTGAGAGGTGGCCCCACATCAGTGGGTTGGAAGACAGGGTGACCAGAGACGAGGGAAGCCCAAAGAGGCTGAGCACTGGTCTGACCAGTGGGTGCATTACCTCGGTGCCATGGAAGAGGCCAGCGTGCGTGGGGTGGGAAGGGCTGCCACAGCCCCCAGGCACTACATGTGAAGCTCTGGCTCCTCCCTCCATCTTCCTCCCCTTTCCCTTCCAGCCCCTCTTTTCCAGGAACCTTGACACACCCACACCTGCGCCCTCCCCTCCCTGACCCTCCCACAGCTGCTGTGGCACATCTGTGCTCTGCAGTTGCCTCATCAGCTCTCTGCTCACTTTTCTCTCTCCTGTTTTCTCTCTGCTTTCTCTCCAACTGCCAGCCGATCGGGTCCGGCAAGTCCATCCCATCCTGAGAGCCCCAGGCCCCCCTTCGACCTCTAAATAGATCCGTCCACTTCTCAGAGACCTCCCTTTCCAAGCCTGCCTGGGCGCTGTTCTGTGATTTGACAGTGGCTCCCCCAGCCCCAAAGCCAGCCCCCTTCATCTGTGACTTGGTCTGCTGTAGTGGTGAGCTGACACCTCCAGGTGTGACTGTGGCTGAAAACGTGTGCCCCCCTCTGTGGTATGCCCCTGCCCTGTTCTATGAATATCTATAAATACACACACACACACACACACACCGCTACACATGGCTGGCTGCCTCGCCTCTAGCACCGGGAATCAGTCACAATGCTGTCTTTTTGGAGTCTTGTGTGCCAATAAGAGAAAGCTGTCCCCTGACATTGCCCCTCCAAAGTGCAGCACCTCCAGTGAGCCTCCCTGTCCTGCCTGGCCTAAGGAGAGCCAGCCCCCGCCATCCCTCCCGCCCCCACCAAGCATGGGAGTGCTGTGAAGGCAGCTGTGTGGCCTGACAGTCTCTACCAGTCCTGCTGTCCCTCACACCCATTTCTGGATGGCGGGGAAATGTGTCCTCTGCTGGCTGTGTTCTCTGTGGAGCTCAGGGGAGGGGAAAGGCCAAGCCATTTCTAGGGTGCTCTAGGGAGCAGTGAAAAGGCCATACCCTTTCCAAGGTTCACTTTTCCTGGAAAGCCCCTGGAGCTTCCCTGGCTCTTATCCTGTGAAGCCGGCTCTGGCCACCAGGGGGCAGGGCCATGAACTCAGCCTGAAGGGAGCCTGTGGGGCAGCCGGCACTCTGGAGGGACAGACAGAAGAGGCCACCAGGTACAGACAGGAGAGGGAGGCAAGGGGACGGAATGGAAGACGCCTGGGCTGGGTGGAAGTCAGTGCCCTTAGGTGCTGGTACCTGTCTTTCCGGCCACCGCTAGATCAGGCTTCTGAGCCTGTTGGCTGTCAGGGTCGGACTGCACCCCGTAGGCACCATGGCAGTCCCCGTGGAATCCCCCAGGTGCCACCAAGCAACATACAGGTAACAAGCCTGGAAGGTCCCCAACAGCCTAGCTGGACATGCTCAAGACACTCTGGGGCTCCTCGTTCGGTGGCACAAACTCCAGGACCCATTGAGGGAAATGGGAACACACCAGGCCGAGGAGTATGGTTAAATCTGTTTATTCCAAAATAAAAAGCAAAATAAACAGGAGTCGCATCACCAGGGAGCCACGACCCCATCCATGCCCCCTTCCTTGTCCTATGCTAGCAATAAATAAGTTTCCCAGCCACAAATAATTATTAGAACCTCCTCCCCACATGCCAGCTCCAACCACAGCTAGGTACCATACAGGGGTGGCCCCACCCTCTGGAATATACAAAACATTACACAGACAAAATGTGTACACTGGAGAAGGGGGCCCACGCCAGCAGCCCATGTCCTCGCCTGGTCCACAGTTAGCCCCACTGTCCTGCCTCACTTACCTCTCTGAATAAGGAGGTGGGAGTCCCCCTGAGGGAAAAGTTGCTATGCTGAGAGTAAGGAGGCTGTCAGAGTCATGCTTAAAAAATTTTAATTTAAGGCCTTGTCTTGCTACCCTAATTGTAAAGGGGTGACTGGGAAGGGGTGGTAGGGTCATGGTGGCGGTGGAGACTCCAGCCCCACTTCTCCAGGCTTTGCTGACACGGAACTGCTTTGAATTTTTATTTTTATCCCATGACTTGTTTTTTAAATCCCATAACTTCTTTTTCATAACATTTGGTAACTTTGCGTAAAACTTTTTTCTACATTTTTGCCACAATTTTTCTGTTTTTTATCCCGTAACTTTTTCACTCCATAACTTTTTATATCCCATAACTTTGTAAATTTGTGTTCTTTTAATAAACATTTACATAGTTATATTACGATTTTGTAAAAATGAAACATATTATCTCATGCCAAGCATGCCCGGCATTTGCACAGTATCAATACCTTTAACACTATAGTTTTCAAGACTCGCAAAATAAAATTTTAAGGCAAAAACAGCACTTTGCAACAACTTAATCATTTATTACATTAGAGTAGCATCACACCAGCAGTCAATAATGTCACTTTAGGGGAAAAGTCTTTCAGTATTTCCAGTATAAATTCTGTTTACAAGAATTCATAAATTGGTAAAATTCATTCTAAGGAAACTTGGCAAGTAAAGCTTTAGGCTGGAATTGGCATTTCTTTCTCTACTTTTCCTTCCCACCATTTCACACAGAAAATGGGGGAAGAGCTGTTTCCAGTTCTCAGACTTTAAACAACTATAATGTCAGTACTCACGGTGGCATATAGTACAAAGTAATCAAGAGTGCACACTTGAGGGCAAACCACATATCGAGCTAATGAAGAGCTCACTGTGATTAAGATGAGATCCAACATAATAGCAGAATATAAGCAAATTTTATCTGAATTCTGTAATGAACATACATGCTGCAATAACATTACAAAAGCATGGCAGCCTATTCCAAACCAGCGAGAACAGTTTTGTGCAAACAGTGGGTCTTTGGGTGTTGGAACTCCCACCATGTAAGCGCGAACTCGATATGCATGCTAATGACCTACAATTATGAAATTAAAAACGAAAAATGCTAAAGGATGCCAGAGTGAACCTCAGTGAAGGCCACAGAGACCCACTCTCTTTTAACTTTTTACAAACAAACTTAAACTATAAATTAGAAACACAAATAAACATGAATAGCTCTAACATTCGAATGAAGTAAATGAATTGTGTAGGAGATTAACCCTATAACTTTCTTTTTAAAAAATGTCTTGACCAGCTCTTTGATGATGGTGATGTTTATCTCCTTCTTCTCCGCAGCAAGCCCAGCAAAGAATGGCACGCGGTTGCTGCCCAAGCCTGGGTGCTCCAGGGTGGTCCTGCACGATGGGCTGTGCAGTCGGGTTGTCGCGAGACCCGCCTGGCCTCTCCTTTGCCCAGTCTCGAGTGCTGTCGTCGGTGAGGCTCACCTCACAAAGATCTTTGGAGAGAGGGAGGCGGGGATCTGAGCACAGTGCAAACCCCCCTGCTCCTGCCTGCCCGCCCTGCATGAGGGCTCTACTCACCACCATGCTTGTGGGCAGCCCCAAACTCCTGGGGGGTGGGGCTCCTGAGACCAGGCTCATTATCAGGGCTCTGGGCAGCGGCCGAGAATTTTCTGTGCCCTTTGTTGCGGTCAGCACAAACGCAACAGCAACTCCTGCAGCTCAGCAGCTCACCTGGAGGGAGGGTGCTCAGGTGTCAGGCGACGCGCCCACGCCCTCACGCCGCCCCCACCCCGGCCCTACCCCGCAGAAAGGGTTTGCACACCCTACCTTCATCTCGTCGTCTTGGGCCAGCCTGATGATGTCCTCCTCCTGGTGTTGCCTCTGTGGCACGGCCCTCTTAGCTCCGTTATAAGCTGTTTAATTTTCCTGCGCGGGAGGACAGGGCTCAACCCTGGGAGCCCCTCCGGCTGACCCTGCAGCTCCCCCTGCCTTGCCCTGGCCTCCCACTCCACTGATGGCATCTCTCCCTCCAGTACTGCGTGAATCGATGTTGTAGTTTCTCCACACGCTCCCTCCAAGTCCATACTTCTCCTCAGAGGTCCATGAGCAACTCTGGAGACAAAATAATAAGTCACCTCTCAGCAGCGACCTACTACCCCTGCCCTTCTTGGCCTATTCCAGGACTCACTCACCTCCACCTTCTCCATCACTTCCTGCAGGGCCTGGGAGTCTCCCACTCACAGACTCGCCCCCAGTCCCTGGGGCTGGGACCGCGGGGGGTCTCCCCACTCACAGACTCGCCCCCAGTCCCTGGGGCTGGGACCGCTGCCTCTGGCTTCTTCTGGGTCAAGGTTCCTGTCTCATTCACCTGGCCCAGCTTCTCCTGCAGCTCTTCGACTTCCTGCTCCAAGTGCAGTGCGCTCTTGTTCTCATTGTTCTGGACAGAGAGACGCAATCAGCAGCCACCCACTGCAGTTGGAGACCCTAGAACTCGGTGTCTGCCTCCCATGGCACCGAGAAGGGTGGAGGCAGGTTAGAAAATTCATCTCTTCTCTCCCACAGCCACCAGAGCAGCGCTCTGGCTCACAGGTGCCTTTAGAAGTAACATTTCACTTGAGGGCTACACTGTCCCGTTTTACAGGTGGGGAAAGAAAGGCCTGGACGGCTAGGGAGGAGGGCAGGCTCCGCAGGTGGAGCAACACAGCAGCTCCTCAACGCCGCTCTGTGGCTCGGCCAGCTGCTGAAGTCTCTCCCCTGCTTTCGAAGCCTCTCCTCCTGCTCCCGAAGCCTCTCCTCCTGCCTCCGAAGCCTCTCCTCCTGCCTCCGAAGCCTCTCCTTTTGTGCCTGGTTCAGGAGACTTACGTGTTGATGGTTTTCCACGTGGGCCTGGAGCTCTGCTGACACCCTCTCTAGTTCCTTCCTCAGGTGCTGCAGCTCCTCCTCAGGGGGCACTGCTGGGGGCTCCGGGTGCAGGGGTTCAGCTGAGAAAGGAAGCAGACAATAAGGGCCTCTAGATTCTCAAAAAAAACAAACAAACAAACAAAAAAACCACCACCACCACCACCAAAAAACACCCTTCTCTTCGTTCACATCTCCTCTCAGGCTCCCCAAGCTTGGCCTCACTGCTAATGATTCCTCGCACCCGGATGGTAGCCAATCTTCCAACCACTTTCAGATGGAGAGCACTGTGGGTGGCTGACAACGGGCCCTCTTTGCTGATGGGGACACTCAGGCTCATGGACATAACAGTGCTGTCTCCCGGCACAGACCTCTTTCCCTCTGCCTCAAAGCCCTTCCATCCACCCACCTCCCTGGGGCATTCTAAGCCACCCCCAGAGCCCCCTCTGATGCCAGGCCTGCTCCCAGGTCACACCAGCCCCATCTTACCCATCTGGTGTTTCAGTTGGGATAAGCTCCTCTCCAGCTCCTCCATCCGATGCATGTCATGCAGCTTCTCCTTCTTTAAGGTGCAAAGCTGCCCAAAGCACAGGGGAAAAGGGCCCTGGAGAGAGGGGCTGGTGGCTCCACAGGCTACCATCTGCCTCTCTGCCCCCACCTCCACAAAGCCCAGACCCATGACCACCTCTAGCTGTATATTCCCATGTTACAGATGCCCAGAAAGATCCAGTGACCTATCTAAGGTGGGGGAGCCGAAGGGTCAGATCTCACCTCCTGGGACATTTTCCTCATCGTCTCCTGCCACTGGGCCCTCTCTCCTTTTATATGTTCAGCATACTCATCTTTTTGTAGCTGGACTAGCCTCAGCGATTCCTTCACCTGCAAGAATGGGAACAGAAGTTACGAAGGGCTGTCACTGGTCCTCACCTGCTCCTGGCCACCTGGGGTCACCTTCCTTCCACATCCCTCCCTCTGCAAAACCTCACCTGTGTCACGTGCGCTTTCAGCAGTGCCTCCTCCTGTAAGGACCGCTCTAACTGTGTCTTGAGAAGTGTTTCACTGCGCATCAGAGATGGATGGTGAAAGAGTGAGAAGTTTCTATCTGGGGAACCTGGGCCATTCCATACAGTGCCCCTTAAACAGGCTAGGGCTAGGCGTGAAGTACTCTGCAGTCAGTACAGATCGAGGCATTACCCGTGGTCTGGTTTTAAGAACTCAAGTAAAGTTGTGAGAGGACAGGGGAAGAGATGGAATTTACTGGCTGCCTAACAGAGGCCCAGGAAGAGATCAGATAATATTGCTCTTGTTATTACTGTTATTACTAGCACTGTTTGGGCCTTTGTGAGTGCTTCACCCAGGCCTGTACTAGCAATCATTTAATCTCACAACCACCACAGACAGTTACTATGATGACCTCTATTGTGTACATGAAAACACATGGAGTATTTGAGGTTAAATGCTTGCCTAAGATCACTGAGCAGAGCCAGGTGAACAGCCAGATCTATCAGAGTTCTCTGGCCCATTTTCTTGCTGAGGGACACAGATAGGAAGGAAACTGAATCTCTTGTTCACTGTTTGAAAGGATGATACATTCGAATAGTCCAAAATTCAGAAGGTACAGAGAGGATATCTCCCAGCCACCCTCTTGCTCTCTCTGAGTTTTTGCCAGGCCTTGCAGTCTTATTTTATGTACATTTTCTACTTAGTATGTACACACACACACACAACACACACACACAGGTTTCCCTCTCTCTACAGAAATGGTAACATATACTAAAGGTACTCTTCTGTACCTTCACAGTACAAGTACCTTAATACCCCACTAGGACTTGTAGCCAAGACCCCAGCCAGGTAAAGGGCAGGGCAGGCACTTAGCCTCCAGCTCTGTGTCCAGTGCTCGCTCCCCCGCACCCCCAACTCACCCACAGCACTGACTCAGCCCCAGGCTGCTCTGCAACCAGACACAAAGCAATGAGACATGGCCATGTTCCCTGGGCAGGACCTCCATCCTGCAGGAAGGGACCCTTGACTCACTCCTCCATCTACGGCTTGGGCTCCCAGGAGATGGGGCAGGTAGTCAGACTCACCTTATCCGCCTTCTTCTTCTGTGTAGCGGTGACAGCAGACAGAGCCACTCTACATCTCCCGTGCGCTGCGATAGGCGTTGCAGGGCGGGCAGCAGATCTTTCGACTCTTCTGTAATGAGGAGAGTTGGATCGAGGCCAGAACTCCCACGAAAGACCTATCCAAATTGCAGGTTGAAGTTAGTGGTGCAGATTCCCACCTTCAAAGATTATGAGAAGCGTTTAGTGTGATACAGGTCTATAGTTAGTTTATTTTTCTGTGCATTCAATCTCTGGATTTGAACCTTTGGGAGAAAAGCCAAACAAGTGCTGAAAGAAGGAAAGCAGCCCCGGAGGACAGGAGAAAACTTCACACCCTCCACTCACCTCTAGCTCCCTTTCGGCTTTCTGTTTCTCATTGTTTGCCTTCTTTTCCTACTGGAGAGAAGACAGAGCTCTTACCAGAGCAGATGGCAACAAGAGACACATGCCCCAGAGATGCCAGCCACCCAGGACAGGCCCACTCATAGGATTGGGTCCTCAGAGTTCTTAGTGGGGTGGAATCTGAGGTGAGCCTTCTTCCCAGGCTGGGAGTGGGGGTGCAGGCTGAGGCATCTACATCTGAGTGCCCCCAAACCCCAGCAAATCATGGCGTGAGCAAAGAAATCACATTACTTCTTCCAGCTGATGTTCCACTTGTTTCTTCTGTTGTTCCTGTGGGAGGTAAAATTAAGGTGATGGAGGGTGGCCCCCTCGCTCTATTCCCAGGCCAGGAGGCGGTAGGCGAGGGGCCAGGAATGGATTTTAAAGCCGAGTTCTCAGACCATAGAACACAAACTGGTCAACTCTCCTCAAGCTCCAGGACAGAGGATTTGGGTGCTGTTGGTTTCACCCACAGCCACAGAACTCAAAGTGTGAATCTGAAATCTCTTGAGAGGACAGGAACATAAACCTCTAGAGATGGAGTTGGAGAAAGGCCCCTTCCTGCCACTTGTGATGTAGAAAAGTCACGTTCATTCAATAAACATTGACTGGCACGTATGAAGTAAATACGACTCTTCACAGTATATAGACGAGAGGAAAGGACAGACAGGAGCTCTTGGCCCTGAGGTTTCCATTCTAGGGGGCTTTTAAATCTCGGACTCTCAGAGCTAACAGACACTTTTGATACTCCTGCCTCTCCTCTGGAAACACGAGCCCAAAAGGAGAGCCAGCTTGTCAGAATCAAAGGCATTAGAGACTGATCCTGTGACAGAAATCACGGGCCCCTGACAGCCAGTCAGACTAGCACTTCCCCGAGAGGCAACGGCCCAGGGCGTGTGTGGCAAGGACTCCAGCAGGGGTGTGTGGACAAGTGGCAAAGAGGGCAGCAAAAGAACAGCCATGGTGCGTGCTCTGGGGTCCCTCCAGGTGGGCTCCAAACCCCAAGCTCCCCATTTGTCCTTTGCACCACGGTCCCCAGCCCCTTTCTTCGACCCCGAGAGGAACCTGGGCCAAGTTGGCAGCCTGGAATCTGGGAGGACCCCACTGGACTCTTTTGGGGTAGGTAGGTGTTATTCCAGTCGACTGATTTTGACAGACCCTCAGTCAGGGCTATAACATTCTTGCTGGCTCTGAGATGCATGCAGAGAGGAGGAAGGTGGAGCAGGGTGGGGGAGAGGTAGAACAATCATTAGGGCTGGGGTGTGTGTGGGCTGTCTCAGCTGGCAGAGGGGCACCCGGTCCTGCTGTGGGAGGAGGTTGGAGGGCTGGCCTGCCTGGTCACTGCACCTCCACCCAGGGCCTGCCACCTCAGATCCTTCCAGGGTGGCATGATGTAGGGTCCGCCCGTGAATGCCTGTTGCTAAACTACAAGAGAGTACACATGGAGATACCTGTTCCCTCTAATGTCTAAAGCCCTCTGACTTCCTTTCATTCACATCAACTGGCAACATTTTCTTTCACACTCTCTCTTGGACCCTTTGTCCATGCTCCTTTGTACCGCTTCTCTCAGCAGCTCTTCTTCCTCCTGCCATCCACCTGGGGCCTGAAATCAGTGACTCCTGATGGCAGTGGCTATTCTCATTGTCCTGCTTCCCCTTGAGACTGGGGACAGGCAATGACCATATCCTGGGTGCCCTGAGTCTTTAGCCAGGCCATGTACTAGAGATTAACATAAAAACAACAATAAGAAATCTCATTTTAAACCTCACAAATGGAAGTCAAACAATAGAACCTCTATTATACAGATGTGCAAAAGAATTTGAAAATCTCAAGCAACTTTTACTAAATCACATATCCTAGCAGGCCAGAAAGGCAGGGTTCAAACCCAGGTCGTTTTTATTTCCTTTTTGTGAGACAAAGTCTGCTTGCCCTCCCAGGCTGGAGTGAGTGGCGAGATCTTGGCTCACTGCAAACTCCGCCTCCTGGGTTCATGCCATTCTCCTGCCTCAACCTCCCGAGCAGCTGGGAATACAGGCACCTACCATCATAAATAATTTTTTTTGTATTTTTCAGTGAGATGGGTTTCACCATGTTAGGCAGGATGGTCTCAATTTCCTGACCTTGTGTCTGCCGGGTTGGTCTCCCAAAGTGCTGGGATTACAGCATGGTCACTGTGCCTGGCTAAACCCAGAATTCTTAACCAGTACACAACCCAGTCCATCCACAATCTTAACAATTACCCTCTACCACACCCCCTTCCGGTCCCTATCCCCAGGAGGCCTGGCCACCAAGACTCCATCCCGAGCTGAGTGGCAACCAGCAGAAGTGGATGTCTCAGGGCTACTGCCATTTGTTTTCTACATTCCTGTTTGCTTCTGCAGACAGCAGGAGGCTGTTCTGTGCAATATTCTTTTAACTGTGGGAAGAAGGCAGTAATCCTCATGAAGGACCTATCGGCCCCTACAGCCACATCCTCCCTTACAGTTTTTACAAGACTCTTTTCCCCATCTGATTTGGCAGCACCAACAGCTGTATGACAAATTGTTGTCAAAATCTTTAGAGACAGAGTTGATATCATAGCTAGAAAAAAGAAAAAGAAAAAGAAAGGCATGAACTTTTTGAAACTCAGTCTTCTGACTCCAAGCTCTAGAGTCTTGCCAGAATAAAGCAGCTGCCACAGGGACTAAAACCAGAAGCAGAGGTACAAAAGTAGCCTCAGTGAGGCAGGAACCCGTATGCCCTGCGGTTTAGAGTCATACATCCTCTCACCGTCTGTCAGTGTGAAGAAATTGCACCAGTACACCTCTCAAAACTTATATCAATGTATCCTCACGGCAGAAGGCAGCCTTTCTGTTAAATCCCAGAATTTATCAGAAAGAGAGGACTATGAAGTCTCATTTCAGAGAAGTCTGGTATTCTCTGCAAACTATCTATGACTGTCAAGCCCTAGTATATTCATGTTTTTTCTCTTAGTCTCACAGAGAATCAAGGAAAACTGATGCTTCAGAAGATGTCTCCACCATTTTATCTGTAGCACTCTAAGTACCCCAGGTCGAGATAATGAGGAAGAGTCAGGCTGTCAAGTCAGTCCTCCAAAGATCTATTCCACAGAAGATGAGTAAATCTTCAGGGGAGACTGATGGCTGAAGAGTATGATCTAATTGAACCATGGAGAATTTAGAATGAGGAGTGGAGAACTCAGAAAAACGTTAAAATCTCACAAGTAGAAGCCTGGGAGAAACCAAGCCAAACCCGACCTACATTTTGCCACATGGAGTGCAGTCAGCGTTTCCCAGCCTCCGCGGGGGAGGCTATGAGCCTCCCCCTGTCAGTATGGAGTGTTAAGGGAGTGAGGCAGCCTGGAACTCTGCTCCTAGGTCCACAGTCTCCATTCCCCTTCCAATGGGGTTGCGCTGTGAGCAGAGGAACCAGAGTAAATTTGAGAACACTTGGGGGACTGGGTCATAAGATCAAAGGCGGTCTTCCAGTAATGACAGTTCCTAGGCAGACTGCCCAGCATCACTACATTCTCACTCCTGATTGAGGAGAGAGGACCACATCAGCGCAATGTCAAGTTACCACTCCACGATGGGGAGGAAACACAGGGTTGGACCCAGGTCCTTGACGCCAGCACAAAGAGCCCAGGGAGGTTGACCTTGAGGCAGCAGGAGAGGAGGGCAGAGTCTGCAGCAGGGGCTCAGGTCACCAGCCCAAAGTCACCCAGGGATGACTGGCGGAGGTGGGACCTGGGGCTGGGAACAACCCCGGTTCTTGAGTCAGGCGCAAAGAGCCCAGGAGGTCGGGCTTGGAGTCGGCCCGGGAGGTGGGGGCCTAGTAATGGAGGAGCCCCAGGAGTCACTGCCTGATCCTTCCCTGGAGTGATTGGCAAGGGCAGGGACTGGGCCTGATGCTGAAAGGGGCAGAGTCACCTGGAGTGATTGGTAAGGCAGGGACACATTTGATGCTGGGGGCAGGGCTGGCTGACAAGACTTTTGCAGAGGCCCAGAGGCACGTGCATTGGAGGAGCCCTGTCAGTGTGCCCTCAGCAGTGATGCTGGCTGTAGTAGCAATCTTATGTCGGAGGATCTGTAGCTGGGTTGAGGCCATGACCTGGTGCGTTTTTACCTTTTTCTTGGCTGGCTGGCTCTTCTGTGAGTTTCTTTCTGCCGCCAAGGTGGGGAAAGGGAGGTGGGTTAGGGGCCCACAACTTGGCAAGGGAATCCCAGGCGGGGCACTAGTCAAGACCTCCAAGTCACCTACCAGGCAGCTGTGTGACTGAGCCACAGAATTAGCCAGCAGGGCACCAGTAGAGATGTAGAATAGGGGCGTAGCCTTGGTGTAAGCCTATTGGTACGGAGAAGATGAAAGGAAGGGCGTGGCCAGGCGGCAGTGTCGTCCAGAGGGACCCTGGCTCATAAGAAGAAGCTACTCAGCTGCTGTTCCGCCCACTGTGAAAGGGGAGGGCTGCCTGGGAGAGGAAGAGGCCAGCTTTTGCTTAAAGCTTTAAAACTTTAAAAAATATGTGTGTCACATACTTTATATATAGTGTGTCTGTGGTAACTGTCATTAAACACCTCTAGAAGCTGTCTAATTACACTAGTTTCTATGCAAGGTCTATGATTTTGGCCTATACTTTTATCTTCAAATACAGTACAAAAATTATCAGTATTACCTGAACTGAGATACAGATCTTATAAAATGAAAATCCATAGCATGTGATGATTAATGAAGCAGACTTTATATTATACAACATTCAATAGATAAAATAATACAATTTTTCTTTTTTGGAAAAAGCGTTTCCCTTATTCTCTATGTGTGTGTTGGGTATTTTTTTTCTCAAAACAAGAAGCATATTTAATATTATCTGAAAAAGACAGAGTTTTGTTTAGGATTCTGAGAAGCTCCAAACCTGTAATCCCTGCCTTGGGAACTGGGCCAGGTGGATCATCGGGAGTCAGGAGTTCGAGACCAGCCTGGCCAACATGGTGAAACCCCATCTCTGCTAAAAATACAAAAGCTAGCCAGGTGTGGTGGTGGTGCCGGTAATTCCAGCTATTTGGGAGGCTGAGGCAGGAGAATCACTTGGACTCAGGAGACGGAGGTTGCAGTGAGCCAAGCTCACACCACCACTCCAGTGGGCGACAAATGAACTCCATCTCAAAGAAATACAATACAATACAAAATAGATTTAAAAAGCTTTCAATTTAATAAGCACTCAAAGCTCTTTACCAGTTTAAAACAAATACAAGGCCCATTTTTCTAGAATCACCTGGCCTCTCTAAGGCTTGCAAACAAAACTGAATTTCTCATGATGCCCAGCTATCACTTGCAATCGAAAACCAAGAATTGTGTTATGTCCTGTGTGTACTAATTGGTACCTGGAGTTCACACAAGGCTGGATCAAAGTTAGATCTTTCAGTTACTACATAACCTGTACTTCTTATCCCAGACCAAACTAAGCTTTTGTGTAGAGTTCTACAATTTGCAGTTAGTAGACAAGAGTGGTTCTCAGTAGTACAATCTCTGGACTAACCGCACCAGCAGCATACAGAGCTTTCATAAGTGCAGATTCTCAGGTCTACAGGACATAATTGAATCAGTGCTCAGGAGGCTGGGAAATGCGTCTGTGCTGCAGTCATCCCCTCAGGTGTTAGAGACCTCTGCCGTGGCAGGTGAAAAATGTTTTCTTCTATAGGTCAAAAGCCAGGGATACTCTATGTTGTGTCTCAGTGTAAACAACGACACGAGATTAAGACACATAACTCCTCCCAACCTACTACTCCACCCTCCATTAAGTGTGTTTTATTTTCATGAGTTCCAAGAAAACAAGTGGCAATCAGAGTTCAATCAAAAAAGTATAGTGCAAGTATTAGTTCTCATCAACTTATCTCATGAAAACCATTTATATCGTCTGACAGCTAAAGTTTTAAAAGTATATTTACAATCAGTCTCCAGGCACACTGGGAACTATCACAAAACCTGAAGTAGATAAGATATATCCAAACCTACTAGAGAAGAAAAGTGAATCATTGGCTATACTTCAAGTAATTCAAAAGGAAATTTGAGTTCTAGATTGTATTTCCTTATACTTCCAAGTGAATAGAATTGGAAGCGAACACTCCCATTCCTTCAAAGCTCTACGTAAATAAAGTTTTACTATGTTAATCTTGCTCAATGGATATAAAGCAAGTCTGTTAGGCACATTATGTATACCTGCAAGATGCAGAACTAAACAGTTCCATCCGTTCCATATTAAAACAAAGTCTGTAAACCTTGGATGGTGCGTGTAATGGCAGCACTAGCACCAAAACCTCAAATGAGAAGATACAAGAACAGCAGTAGCAAACAAAGCTAAACTCTCTGCCAGGAGCAGTATAGTTCACCTGTAATCCACAGCACTCTACATACCAAGGTGGGAGGATTACTTGAGTCATCAGAGTTCAAGACAAGCCTGGGAAGTATAGGAAATTCTCATCTCTAAAAAAATTTTAAAAACGGCTGGCGTTGTAACAGACCTGTCATGCTAGCTACTTGGCAGGCTGAGGTGGAAAGTACTTCTTCCGGAGTTCGAGGCTGCAGTAAGCTGCCAGTTGGCACTGCACTCCAGCCTGAGTGACACAGCGAGACCCTAGATAATTACATTCTCTCCTGCTCCTGTTTACACCAAAATCACTAAGTTAAAACACTTTCAAATTTGGCAGGATAAAAATTAAGTGAAATGTGACTTTGGAGTTTGGAGGAAGAAGGAAGGAAAGGAGGAGTAAAGGGGAGAGAGGAAGGAAGGGAAGGAGGAGGAGAGAGGAAGGAAGGAAGAAGAACAGAAAAGGGAAAGAAAGGAAGGAAAGGAAGAAGGAAGGAAGGAAGGAAAAGAAGGAAAGAAAGGAAGAGAAACAAAAGGAAGGAAAGGAAGAGAAGCAGAAGATGAAGAGCGAAAGGAAAAGGAAGGGAAAAAAGGAAAGGAAAGGGGAAGGGAAGGAAGAAGAAAAAATAGAAAGTAACAAATTACTTACTAGAGAAAGTTTTACAGTAACCTCAATGACAAATAAAAGTTATTATCTTTAGCCTGTAGAAAATCTTATAATTACTCAGGAAAAAAACACAAAAAATCAAAAAACAACAACAACAAAAACCCCCCAAAAAAATGATTTTCAACAATGACAATGGAGAAACAGTCACTTCTCACAAAAATAAAAATGGCCAATGAGTGCCTGAGTTCAAAAGCATTTAGAAATCAAGGAAATGTCATGAAACAATGACATTTTCTGTATAAAATTAAAAGATGACAAATAGAATGGGAACCTGGGCCTCTTCCTGTATTGGTGGGAGTATAAACTAGAGACACTTTTCTGGAGATAATTTTAGGTATTCTATCTAAGGCCCTCCCATTATTACCCTCGGAGGAATTCCTTCTAGATTAGTCCAAAATGCTTATAGAAGCTCATTAAAATGTATATAAAATTCACACTCTAAGTGGCAATAATCGACTTAATATACATCACCTATATTAAAAATGATGATGCTAGGATATATTTCCTGTAAATAAGTATACCCAAAATATAGTAAATAATAAAAGACTATCTAATATGATTCCACTAAAAGAAATATTTACATCAATATAAAAAATTATAAAACAACACACCAGAATCTTTAATTGGCAAATTAAAGATTTTCTTAACATTTGTCATCCAAATCCTTACAAAAAGAATGTGATTTCCTAGCCTATAATCAGGAAGTATTATTTTCATTTATTTATCTTTAAATCTCTTTTCTTTCCACATTTTCCTCCTGTATATATCCAAGTAGGCTGAACTCTACTATCCAGAAGTCATGTTTATGGAAATTACTACATACAGCTGCTCATCTTTCCTTTCTTTAAGTCAAGTAATTTTATTCAGCCTGTTTTATTCTTCAAATCTGTTAATATACAAATTGAGAACAGACAAAGGAAGGCTGACTCTACCTCCTGGGGCTATCTTTATTTTGCTGCTATTAACCATATTCAAGTTCACTGTTTAAAAAGGTGACAGCTATGATCCTTTCCTTATCTCTTTCTCATAATCCTACTTCATTCCCAACCACTTATTTTTAAAAGTCATGTGTATAAATATATAATTGAAAAATTCAAATGTAACTATCTAAAAATGTAAACAAATCTCATTCTGATCTTACTCTCCATACAACAAACACTTTTAATTGGTTTTCCTTGTATCATTTCAAAGTTTATCTTTGATACACATGTATGTGTATTCTCTTCACTCTCTCAACACAAAAGTAGCATACCACCTAAGTACATTCCTTCCTTTTAAAGCACACACCATCGATGATCAAGACTTTAAATTTGAAGTGCCTCTGGTTCTACCTCTTTAAAACAACAGTGTTGCATCGTTGATTTTAGTTCATAACCAGTTCCTGTTGGTGGACACGAAATCATCCTATCATACTATTACAACCGTCAGTGGCTATTTTTATTTCAGTTCATTTCTGAATCTGTACGACAAATCTGCTAAAATCACAAAGTTCACGAGGCTGAAAGGATTCAGCTTACCACCTTTGATATTATTCGATACAGCAGTATGTAGCAAAGACTCTCTCAGAGACAGAAACAAGCATTATACTGGGGGCGTGCTTTATATGTGCAATGGACAAACAGAACACAGGAGGAACGTTCTATTTAACCATGCACATGTATGCATACAATACATGAATATACTGAAAGTTTAAATAAATCCATCAAACATTATAGCACTGTCTAAATCACGGTGAATCCTAAGGAGTGCTACTAGATAACCTCTTGTCTATCAATTCTTTCCTAATTCCACATAGTAAATATGTATACTTCTACAATACAAGAATTTTAAAAAATGCAAACTCAAATTAAGCTGCACTTATATTCCCTTCAGTCTCTCCACATTTGTATGGCGTTCAGAGTGTCAAATATCCTTCATTAAAATATATTTAATTATTTTTCAAATATAGAGATAGCAGAGTCTGCACTCTGTGCCAAGCCAGGCTAGTCTTGAACTCCTAGATCCTCCTGGTTCCCCTCACTTCCATCTCCCAAAGTGCCGGTATCACAAGTGTGAGCCATCCAGAGCCAGCCAGCTTCA